TATATTCACAGAGAACATTTGAACAAATCTGGATAGCAAATGAATTAACAAATAACTGCTTTCAAAATGGAAAATTAGCTTTACTGCTCACGTGCACAGAGTGGAATTGGCCAAAAACCTTTCCATAAGTCTGTCTTTGATGTCATTATTACAAAGTTAGAGTTCAGTGTAAGAGTTCAGTGTATCAGTGTTGATTTCAGCAGATTTCCCCACTTCCAAATATGTTGGAGACTAAAAGTGCTAACATTTTAAAAACGCCTTAATTTCAATCATGTGGTCCAGGAATTTCTGTTTTGGCATTGCTAACAACATTTTGCAGTTGAAATTTTAGTTAAAACAGATTGAAAAAAGTTAAAAATAATCAAAAGACAATACTTCTTTTTTCTTCTTCTCTTTTTCTTTGATTTATCAGTTAACAAAAGCTTTTGAGATGTAGAGTGCTGGGCCATTTGGTCTCCTAAGGACTCAGATTCTTCTGGTGTAGGAAAACAGCCCGATGGAGTATGACATGGAGGAAGCAGTGAGCATTCAGGAGGATGGAAATGGAGGATTTCTGGCTTTTTATGAAGTGTGGCTGCATTGGCTGATAGCTGGGAGAGGTTGTGATACTGAAGGGTGTTTGGTCCCAAGTGTTAGGGATCTTTAAAAATCAGCTTTTCTCAAAATCTCCACCACTAGGATGCATTCAGGTTCACATTATTCAGGCTAGGACAATTCCATTACTTTCAGTGCTCTTAAGCCATCAGAAAATTTGGCCCTTAAATGTATCAGAGATCTGGGGTCAGAATCTGAGACGTGAATCCAGGCAGTCCCAAAACAAAACAGACGTGAACTCTCAGGTTTTGGACCAGCCTTGGGAAACAAAAGGCACTGAAACAAACAACAAACTCCTCATCCCATCTGTGTTTATTAGATTTCATGGGTAGAAATGGGGTAAATCAGATCCTTTTTTTAAAAAGAAAAAAAAAAACACCCAAAAGGCAGCAATTTGTAAGTGGCTCAGGTTTTTACTCTTACAGAAAATCTTCGCCTCACCCGCAGTTAGTGGTTCTTTGTCTTCTGCTGAAGAAATGTTCATTTTAAGGATAGACGAAACTGCTGTGGTCTTATGCTGGGATTTATTAGGAACACAGATTGTTTAAAGCTTCTCTGTTAGAAATTCCTGCTTTTTTCTTCATGATTTTATTGAGTCAACCATCTGAGTGAGCAAAGATTTTAATTCTATCTACCACAGCCTGATTAGGATGCTGTTCAGTATCCATACATGGAGAGAGACTTTCTCTCTCCAATTTTAAAGTATTAGATGCAACATTTACATTGAAAGCTTTTCACTGACTCTCTAGAGAAAAGGGTGTCTTTAAAATGAAAACAAAAGTGACTGTGGTGTCACAGCCATAATGCATATAATGTTCTTTGAACCCAAATTGGAGTCTAATTTTTGTCACCCTTAAAGTATTCATATTAATGCAATTAAATATTAAAACATAATAGTTTTGTATATATTGATATGTATCCCATTGTGTAGGCTAGATAAAATCTTTAAAAGGGGGGAAAGGTGCAGGAGTTCAAAATACATTGAGTTAGGGATGAGTGATCCTGAACATAGATGCCTTCTCTCATTTTTCACAAGTCCCAACACTTTTTATAGATTGGCACCGGGGAAGAAAACTAGAAAGGGTCTGTCTGTGTATACCCAGTTTGGTTTTGTTTTTTTTTTTTTTTTTTTCAATCTCACTGCTGCTGACTGCTGTAGGGAACAGAACTGGCTGCTCAGAATGGCTGAACAAATCTTTGGACTGAAGCAGGCTAGCAGTACAGGATGTAGAATAACTGTTTCATTATTATTATTCTTCAGTTATTTCCAGCATGCCATAATATTTCAGTAGGAATGCTATTTGGACAGAAGATATTACATGTGCAAGTGTTTGTGTGGTTTGCTGATTTGCAAGGCTGAATACATGATAGAATACTTTGGGTTATTATATATAAATTATTACCATATGAGAGTTAATAACAAATTATATAAAAAATAATCAGCAAGAATTTCTGTGATTTTTGTTTGTTTTTTACAGTCCTTACATGGTGTTGCAGTTTCTACTGTCCCAGAACTACCACTTTTCTACACTCCTATTGATTTAGTAGACATCAGTGTAGAAATGGCTGGACTGAAGTTTCTAAATCCTTTTGGCCTTGCCAGTGCAACCCCTACTACTAGTTCTTCAATGATTCGAAGAGCTTTTGAAGCTGGATGGGGCTTTGCTGTCACTAAAACATTCTCCCTGGATAAGGTAAGGAAATATTTTAAAGTATATTTAGCATGTAGCCATTCCTTTCTGTATTTGAAAAATCTGAATCTTTGGGGAGTGGCACTATTAAACATAGCTAGCACAAAAATAGCAGGGAAGGCTGTGGTACACGGTGGAGGTCGACTAGTCTGGGAGGTTCCAACAGTGCAGTGTAAAGTTTGATACAATTTCTGGGTTTGTTTGCTGTTACATTTTTCCCTTTTATTCCTCAACCTTTTAATATAATCCAGCAAGTAAGGGGAATAGTCCTTTTTTAAAAATATTGCAATGAAAATGTTTTCTGTGGGGGATCAGAATGCAAAGGGAATGAGTAACAGCTTTATCACACAAATCATGAAACGCAGCTTCTATGCCAAGGACTGCCAAGATAAGCCATTGAAATTGAGTTGCATTTGCAATGTGATAATGTGGGTGTAAGCTTGAGGCTGGGTAGTGGAAGAGAAAGATGGAGGCAACACAGAATAGGACTATGGAGGGAAGAGTAATTGTGCTGCAGGTTTGTAGTACAGTGACATAAACCTTCAGTAATATGTAGTGGAAGAGGAAGGAGTTAGAATTAAGTCTTGAAGGCTATGGCTTAGTGTGGCACCTAAAATAGAGCTTTGTGTAAATTTAAAGTGTGTAATTGCTTGTTTGACCTAAGAATTGCATTCAGGATGGGGTTCTTGTTACTACATTCAAAATGGAAAAATGAAACTGAGCAAGAAGTTTAGACAGTGAAAGGAAACAACAGTTTTGATAAATGTATTGCGAAGAAAAGAAACAGGATTTGGTCTAGGATGTAGATACGGTTTCACTTGCAAAGAGATGAAGAGGATCAAAGGTAAATCCTTAGACGTAGGCCCAAGTAACAGTATGAATAATGGTTATATGTCATCAACCAGTGACAAACAGTAGTGTGTGCTGAAGAGAGCTTTGGAGATGAATTTGAAAACAAAGGGCTTATATTCTTCGTTCAGAGTTGGGTTGTAAAAGTGTACTGATAGAAGAGAGAAGGTGGATTTGTTACTCTGCCACCTCTACATGGGTTAGTACTGTAAGTGAAATAACTTGAGAGGGTGGCCCTCTAATATGAGGAAGGTCTACGAACAAAGTGCTGTATTGCTACAGTATACTGTATATATATATGTCAGACTGGCTTCTGCTGTCACTTACACCTGAAGGAGCTCTAAGGAAGTAAGTGTTCCTCTGGATTGCAATGGAGATTCCAATCTACTTCACAGGGTTTCTTATTAAAACACTTTTTAGAACATAAATGTCATTCAACTATGTTTACAACTGACTTATGTGTATAGCATACCGTCAGCTGTAATTATTCAGTGCCTAGGCTAAAGGCAACTTCATAGCAAGTACTGAGATTTATTTATTTATCAGTTTTATTGCTGGTATGCTTGCAGTCCTGCCAGACTGCACGTTGATTACTGTGTATCTCAAGAGCTAAACAGACACTGGCTGAGTTCCAGCTTGGGTGGGAGTTCAGGAGGGAAGACATGCATGTTGTAGGAAGTGATGTTGGTACTCCACTAAGCAGCAGACTCTGAGTCATTTTTCAAATGGTGACTGCAAAGGGTTCCACTGGATGCCATGCTCTGGAGATGTGACTCAGATGGAGATCTTTCAAGCAAGAAGATTGCTAAAAGCAAGTACCTTAAGTGGTTATATTTGTTGCAATAAGATGCAAAATATTGCAGGCAGTATTTATTTTAGAGAGAAGTAGTTCAGAAAAGTGATTTGGATGAATTCCAGTCCAGTGATCATTGCTTATTTCTAGCTAAGATTTCTTCTAGTGTTCAATAGGAGGTAGTTGTCTTTCTCTGGTGCCTAAACTCTTGAATCATGTATTGCTGTGTGCAGTAGGACTGTGTCCCAGCCAAGTATTACCTAGTTTTTCTACTACTGTATTCTTCCCTGTAGTGCACTTCCCACAGGTGTTAAGCCTTAGTATTTGTGACATGATTTGAGATGCTTGGCTGCGAGGTGTTGAAGAAATAAAATTGCTTTTATTTAGAATAGTAGCATGGTAATTAATGCTACAAAAAGAAATATTTCAAATAGGAAGAAGAGCTCAATAAGGTACTACACAAAAACTGTTCTTGTTGACTTAATGCTAGAACATGGAGTTGGTAGACAGTTTGGAATAATATAGGCTAGCATAAGGTGCTAACTTCTTTAAAAAAAAAACAACAAATAACTTAGCTTCTGATTATGTAGACATAAATCTTGTGCAGTATTCAGCAGGGAGCAGAATGCTCTCTTGGGCTGTGGTACCTGTGGAAGTAGAGATTTCAGACTGAGCTAGTCACAGCTCACTTTGTAGCAGGACCAGGAACAAAGATTTCCTGATTGAAGCCTGCAGAGTTGGTGGGAGGAGGCAGAGCTGCTCCCCAGACAATACAGTTCTCAAGAGTGAAACAGCTTCTGGGAGGAAGGGAGCTTACTAGATGCATTTTTAGGCAGCTGAAAGCTCCTCCACTTCAGCCGTGATTGTATGTGATACAACCAGGATTCTGTGTTCATCCCTCGTCTCCTCATTTTATCTGTCCTGGTTAGGTTTAACTTGTGGGCTTCCTTCTTATTTACAGTAGTTAAAGGCCAAGTGTAAACTGTGTGTGTGGCAATGGGGAGCTTAGCAGCAGGAGAAATGCTCCCTTCTCCAGAGCCAAATAATGAATTCACCACTGTGTTCAGTCACTTATAGGGAAAACAGTGACTTCCCTGTTGACCATGGGCATCCTTTGGCGCTTTAGCAGAAGTGACTGATGCAGGCTAAAACTGAGTGACTTATAGCTAGTGAAAAGCTAACCACAAATTGCCAGGCATTAACTAATGTGTGATGGAATAAGATCAGAGAGAAAAACAGGATAAATCTTGTGGAAGAAAGAGATCCAAGGACAGAGATAAAATGGACTCAGGCTGGAGATCTGTGATTCTCGTAAGACAGAGGATTCATTTCATATGAACTTATTCTTTTCCCTCTTTCACTACCTAGCACAGAAAACTCTTCTAAAATGCTAGGCTAGGGATCCCTGCAGCCCTGAGAGGCCATGCTTTCTTGTATGGGGAAACTGTTGGGTAGCAGTGCTGCAGTTCTAGCCCCTGGACCATAATTTACTCCCCCAGTCTTCCCAACCCTCATCTGTCTTGGCCTCACCTTGAAAGCATCATATGTTGCCACAGAAAAAGTAAGCATAGCACTAACCATTTTGTGCCATGCTCACTCTCTTTTCAAACACCCACATACTTTGCTGCATAACTGCCTTCATGACAACCTGCATAGCATTTTCTGTTTGTAGGGTGAGGATTTCAACTCTGAGTGATTCAGCAAAAGTTTGCTCTTGCATACTACTGTACTATTGTTGAAACATAAAAAGAATTAGCATAAGAGATAGCTGAAATTCCTTCAGGGTATTTATACCTTTGAGTATACTGCACTCTAAATATTTTAGACGGTAATAGATATTACAGTGTAATGCAAATATTAATTATAGGGTACTGTACTTGTATGTGTCTGTAGGTGTCCGTGAGTGGGATAGCAACTTATAGGATTTTATTTACTAAATTAAACATTTTTCAACAGCTGCTTTAGTGTCAAGTAGATTTTATTTTTTCCAGAAATGAGAATAACTGCTTTTAAAATGGACTATCAATAGAAAAGAAAAATGGTAGCAGAATAAAAACATCCCTTCGCACACCTTTTCCTACATCCATGTCTTCCCTTTTTGACTGCAGGATCAATAGCTCATTGCTCCGTTGGTTCAAATAGTATTTCTGTCTTACTCAGATAACTCTGTGCCGCAACATATTATTTGTAAATTCTGTTGGCAAGCTATTGAAGGGAAATGGGGGAGCTGCATATCACAGGGAAATGGGGGAGCTGCATATCATAGAGTCCACAATAAATGAATACCAATTATTACCTCTTTCAGAGCTTAGATGAATGGAAAACTACCTGCAGAATGAGAGATACTGCTTTAATTAAACAAATAACTGTGAGTGGGAGTTTTTTAGTAGAAGCGTTGTATTGAGATGGTTTATTACTTAGGATTTATTAGTGAGTATTGTATAGTACACAAAATTTGCATTAAAACCCGTAATCGGAAACTTTCTATATATATAGTATCAAAATAAGTCAGAGGTTATATGAAGTGTACACGTCTCTATACTGTATCCATTACCACAGTGAGAAGTTTCTAGCAGAAACTGGGGTTTAATCAACTGAATTGAGGCTTTGTTGTTCTCTCACTGCATTGTATGGGCTGCTTAGAAAGACAAAAAAAAATAACTGGAATAGCAGAAATGTTTGCTTTGATTTTTAGATGCTTCCTTCACTTCTAAAATTTAATTCTGATTAATCAGATACATCTGTCTTTATTCTGTTGTGACATGCATTGATTTGTGATGCTGTCGCTTTCAATAATGTAGAAATAGTTGCCTTTATTATGAGAGCCGGCAGAAATCAACATGCAGACTAACTTAATTTTTAATCTTTAATATTTTTTTTCATTATATATGGAGCAAGTTGCACAAATGATTTTAAAAACAAAGCTACAATTAAAACTAGATTAAATTTGAACTAAACTATAGTGGAGAAAACTTTCCAGTCATAATGTATGTTTATACGAGTCATTCATGTAGATTTTACACTACATTTTCAGAACCATTTCTAAATTAATACCATTGCTGGTAGAGAATTACTTAATTTACCCAGGATATATCACATTTCCTTTTGCTGTTATTACACTATACATATTCAGGCTCCAACTAGTTTTCTCTCTGTACATTTGCACTGTGTGCACCTCACTTCGTAATTGAAGGTGGTAAAAAAATCATGGTACAATGACGCACTGTTTTTCATAACATCAGTATTTCACGGAAGTGAATCTGTATTACAAAATGTATATTTTTGTATGATATTACAGCATAGTAATTTAGATTAAACTAGTTATAATTTATGGTGCCAAGCCAAAAAGCTATTTAAGATGCATTAAAATGCAGAACCATGACATTTGAAATTCTGATTTTCTTAATATGACAAAGGTTATTCTATGGAGTTTTGCTATAATATGAAATATTAATATTTCACAATACAGTTTTGATGAAGTACAATTTGCCTAGCTTGCATATGATAAAGAAATTAAATGCTTACCAAGGGAGTTCAGTGAGAATTAGAGCCCTGCCTGAACATCTGCTTGAAATGTTATTATCCTGTCCTACTGACAGCATCGCTCCCTCATTGTTTTTCAAGATTGACAGCTGAATATTGTACTGATTTCTGCAGCAAATATGTTTAGGTGAACTTTGTTTCGTTTTTTAGGAATTTAGAGCATGCTTTTGATTTCCACCCTATAATTTTTTTTTTTTTATACTCTTGACATTTGTAGATGCCAGATTGAGGTCTAGTATGCTGTAGCAAAGATAGACCATTGACTTGCAATGAAATGCCAGTTGATATCTCAGTAAACAGAAATATTACTATTCTTTATTGTGTGGTCTGTATGAAAGCTGTATGGGCTTTCTATGGGGAGACAAATGATCAGATTGTTAATGTCAAATATAAAAAAGACTGTTTGCCTTTCTACTAAATAACATCAGACAACTTTTATTAACTCAATTTTTTGAACAAAAAATGGTCATTTTACAGGGTTTCTTAGCATACAAAACTTTGTGAGTTAAAATATTTCTTGGTTTCAGAAATGTTAAAATTATTATTGGTCTTAATATTATTACGAGTTCTTTACATATCTTATTTTGTTCCATATTTCTGAAAGAATTTTAATAAGAAATAACAGCTTTATTGTTCCTCAACTTTTACATTTCTAGATCACTGCATAAAATTAGCAAAGTTTAACAGGGGAGACTACTCTAGGGAAATGCAATAGCATATAATTATTATTTTTTAAAGTGTTGTAATTACAACATTGTATTTTACTTTAATATTTTTATACAGAAAATGTGTTTTCTGGCTACAAAAAAGGAACAAATCATTCTGTGACTTTGAGTAAGTGGCAGAAAACCAGATTTTCCTCCTTCTTCCTCAATAAAAAGTTTTTCTCTGATATGTTCAACTTAAGGGCCAGATCTCATCTCTACTTAGTTTTACCCTGTACCAGAGCCAATATAAAGAAGCCTGGATGCTCTCTTTAAATGCTAATAACTTTAGTAGCGTCAAAACGGCTGTATGAGGAACTGGAGTGGACAGTATTTGACCGTTCTTTCTCCTCACTCTCTGCACCTGGGGCTGTAGGGGCTTGACACATCTTCACCCTGGAGGAATCTCAGTCTGTAGAGATGTAGCACAACTTGAACAACACAGTGAAAGCAGAGAGGACAAGGAGTCCAGAACTGAGAGCTTTAACCAAGTTGTCTTTGATAAGACAAGTCCTTTCCTACCACAGCTGATGTCTGCACCAATTAGATGTATGCCTTAAATTGTTGCAGGTGTGCTTCTTGACACCAGTGAATTTGCAAGTTGAGATAGTTTGGACCATTTTAATAATCTGGTTTTACCATTAGTAAGGCTGGTTATTTTGGCCAGTTAATACTTTGAACGTTGAAGATCACGAACTGTATTTTCAAAGCAATAGTTTAACAACTGACAGTAAAAAGTCTCCCTCTCTCTTTGTGATTCTATTTATTACTTTAGAAATGTAAAACTTTTTACAAGTTTGTGATAAATAATAAGCCTATGGGCAAATGTTTAGTCCCACTCTTCCTGTAGCATTAAATATTGCTAAAGTGCTGCATTTCTTCTGCAATGAGAGCCACAGCACAGTCTCTCATGGAGAAGTCTGGCGAGTAGAGTGGGGGCACGTGTGAAGTGTAGGGGGGCATACAGCTGGGACAGCTGACCCCAACTGTCCAAAGGGATATTCCATGTCCTATAACATCGTGCTCAGCATATAAAGCTGGGGGAGGAGATTTGGAGTGATGGCATTTGTCTTTCCAGGTGGCTGTTGCGTGTGGTGGAGCCCAGCTTTCCTGGAGGTGGCTGGGCACCTACCTGCCCATGGGGGTGGTGAATGGGTTCCTTGTTTGGCTTTGCTTGTGTGCATGGCTTTTGCTTTGCCTGTTGGACTGTTTTTGTCTCAGCCCACAAGTTTTCTTACTTTTGCTCTTCCGATTCTCTCCCGTTATACTGGGGGTAAGTGGGTGAGCGACTGGGTGATGCTTAGTTGCCAACTGGGGTTAAAACACGACAGTTGTGCTTGGCACTCAGCATGGGGCTCAAGGGGTTCAAGATAATGACAGATTTGATTGGAATGTGCTAGATCGAATTTATAGCTGTTATTGCTGTTTAGCTATCAGTTGCCAGGCTCCTGTGCTTGCCGTGAGGCTTGCTTACCTCACTGTGTATTGGACTCTAGTGCTGGTTAGTGGTGCTTTTGCTTTCGCTGCTCGCCGTACTGCTTATCATCTTACTCTGCTGTGCCTGGGAACATTTTGATAACAGCAATGGTGATGTGCCTGGGCTGGCAGACGGCCAGGGCATCGCTGCTGTTCCTGTGCTGCTCTGCTGGACAGGCTGGAACTGCGGTGTGAAGGGACTGTGACCAGTGAATGAGTCCACGTGGGAGCAGGACACCTCAAAGCATCTGTGGCCATGAATAAGTCCACACCCAAGCAGGTACATCTTGAAGTGTCTGTGGCTGTGGCTATGACTATGTCTGTGCCGGAGCAGGTTTACTTCTGAAGGGATTAGATAAATCCATGCCAGGTTGGCTAAGTGCACGTTAGAGAAGGTACACCTCGAAGCATCAGTGGCTGTGCATGAAGTCATGCTGGAGCACCTCAGGTCATGTGACAAAGAAGGATCTGTCACACAGGGGTGTGAGCATTGAGTCAGTAAAGCTCATCCGTGCTAAAGGACGGATTGTTACGGAGGATCAGCAAGTTGCTTTTCACATTTTGTGTTTTCCTTGCATTCACCCTCATGGAACAGAGGGAGCTTGGCTGTAACTTCTATGTCTTATGCTTCTTGAGCTCATTTCATACATTCCATAGAGTCTTTAAGACAGCAATGACATATCTTTCTCAAAGCTGCACACGAAGCTGGCCATCAAAGGTAAAACTAGATACATGTGCAAAACTAGTTCTTGGTAGGCTACGGGTTCCTCAATTATAGAGTTGTCTAAGGATTCATTTTCTGTTTATCTGTTTTTTACACGGTATTTAGAGATTGTTTCTTTTTCATGTCTTTTTTTCTGCTGGCTAAAAATCTGAACAGTATTTCTTTTTATCTTGAAGAAGCTGCTTTGCTCTTTACTACCTTTGCTTTATTTACCTCATTCTTCTGAAAATATCTGCAAATATTTAACGAGAGACAGAGTGCACACATGCATGATTTTCCAAAACTGCTGAGAATCTGCAGCTCTTGAGGTACTGTATCTGAAGTACTTAATGTTTTTTAATATCACATTCTGAATAAACAGTATACTAAAAAGCAAATATGTAACATACTTGTGTAAAATATCATTCAGATACTATTTCCTGTCGTCATTTTGTATGCCCTTGGAAGGTTGTTGGTAATCTTGGCAATACTTCAAATAACTTTGTGTCAGAAAGGAATTCAGCTAAAAAGGCAGTTTCAGTGTAAGCTAGAAATTGCCAAGTGTAATTCTGAAATTTAGAATTTTCACACTGAAGTTTCATTCTCAATTCAGATTTGTTGCAAACTCTTTTTAGTATTTTGCTTTCTTCAAAGCAACCGATTACATATAACTTTAAGTGGGATTATTGTATTTAATTTATTAGAAAAAATTGTAGGCTATTTTTATTAATATTTATATTTATAAATGCCTATCCAAGACAATCACAGCATAAGGCCATATTTAACGTTTTGGACTTTTCTTAGTATAAATTACATAAACTTCCCTATTTTTTGGAATTGTCATGATGCACTTAATAGGTAACCACAGACATTCAGGAAAAAACCTAAATATTTATTTTTCCATTATAACATTTAGAAGTTTCCCTCCTGTCAGGTCACTGGTTCCTCTTCCCCGTCCGTCCCCCGCTCCCCCCCCCCCCCCCCGCCCCCCAGTTTGTTAAGTGCATGAGTCAGAGTTTGGATTTTTTCCCTCATTTCCATGTTTTAATTATGAGAAAATCCAGAATGCAATCCAGACATCAGTAGGTCTACTGAGATACTGAAGTGAAATAAAGGAAGAGTGTTTTTTTCACTTCAGTTGCTTAATTTACAGTTCGGCATTTTTGCTGCGGTCTACATTCATTGCTGTGGTCAAATGCTGGGTTCTACAAGAGTCTAGGTGACACTTTGGGACTGCACCTCTGTTCACCAACATTATCAGGCTGCAAATGCACGGGGGAAGACACTTCCAGCACCGTGCCTTCTCCCCTGCACACCAGCTCATTGTTTCTTGCTTCAGCTGTGCAAGTTAAATGGCAGCCCTGCTGTTGGATGAGTGCTTTTCCTCACCTCTACCAAGAAAAACATGAGAGAGCTGAAGCATCTCATGCAACATCTATTGCCCAAAGATTCCTGGTTGGACCACGCAATCTTGCAACATGTTTGCAGAAACATGGTCCCATATTGACTCTACATTGACAGTATTAAATCAGTGTTGAGCATGTATGTGGTACTGTATAGCTTGTGTTAAAACGTTTGCAGACATAAGCTGAAATGATATAACTAGCTCTAAACTGGCATATGTTTCCACACGTGGGTTTGCAGGGTTTTAGCTTAATCATTTTTCAAGGGATTTTTGGTTATACCAGTGTAGCTTTTATGTAAAGGCAACATGCTTTCCTAAATACTCGAGTTATATCAGGTCTTGAGTTCCCACTTGGTAAATGAAACTGCTAGGGCTGTGTTTAACATCTGATTTGCCCACACACGAAGTTAAGAAAGCAAAGAGCTGATTTTTGAATCTCATGGTGATATAATTGCATTTACTCCTGATTGACGTTGTTGCAAAAGCAGAATGAAGTCCCATATGTTTAAAAAACCTGATAGGTTCTTATGTTAAAATGCCTATTACTAATGCAAATAAGCATGTGAGTGTATTCTACATAGCATTTCTTATCTTTATTTGAGATTTCTAATTATCTAAATATTTTACAATAATAGAGATTGTGGCTTTATGGGACTCCATCCTTCAGTCAGAAAGTGTAGGGTTTTTGTGTATAAATCTTC